CGATGTCTCTTTATCCACGCATTTAGCTCAGCAATTGGTAACCTCTTTGGTTATCTCAGGAATTTTGAATGCCACAAGTCAAATTTACACAAACGTCAACCGGACCAAGTTAATAATCTGGCGTGCACTATGGTGAATTCATCCAGCTAGCCTCTGTTTGCCAAACATGTATGCACTTGTTGATCTAAACGAGACAGTTTTAACCTCCGCGAGTATGTGTGCCGAATTTGAGTGCATAATCAGCATTTTTGATGATGATGATGATGATGATGATATTACTGCGCTCAAGGTTTCTTCAAAAAGAACCTGCGTTTCTCAATCTATTTATGAGGTTTTTATAAGTGGGTTATCACAGACGGCTAAAGCAGTTGGTACACAGTCAACTGATCCTGTCAACGCTATAGACATTCGGATTTACGAGGTCGTTGGTGTTGCAAGACAACGAACCCTGCCAACGATGTTGGACGTACACAAGCAATAGGAGCTGGTTGTCGCCAACTGTGACAACTGTCTGGATTTTTCACACCGCTCCTGTATTGCTGTATTTTATTACGAGTGTATGCATGCGCTATTTACATACATAAGTAGCACTGGCGATGACAATGTCACTGTGCCACAGGTTCTAAACAATACGTGGTGTACTTGAGTCTGCCTGCCAAGTTGGTTTTTTGGATGAATTGAAAGTAAATGTTCAGCATAATTTGATGGCGAAATACGGAATGGAATCAAATGTTTCAACTGTGATGTTAAATACAACGATGGAAAAGACATAGGTGCCAGGCTCTACTACTAAACACGTTGCTTTTCGCCTTCTGTTTTAGCAGCCACTTCGGAGTACGACATGCCGAAAGAAAGTGATACGAAACCATCAGAACCAAGTGAGGGTTCGATTCCATTGGTCATTTTTATTAACCATTCCTTAACAGTGCTGTTGAATACCGACAAGACCAAGATGAGATGGAATTTTTGTGAGACCCGGCGTGTGGTCGTAAACCACGTTGGGGCCACTGCATTGAATGTAGCCCAATTACGCTTCTCTGATACCCGCTAAGACGAAGAAGACTGGAGGTGGCGAGGGGACACGACAGCTTGCCACAGTGCTTAACCAAGTTGTCGGTGTGTTCATAGCTTGCTAAGACGTCAGCTTGACACCGTCCTCTGAGCAAACATCGCGGCGTGAAGTGCTGTGAAGATGTCCGATTGAATCCCTGCTCCCTCATGCTTGTTAACAGTGATCGCTCGCTGATCGTCACAAGAGACGGGACTTTGTACAAGAATGACAGTTCTTTCCCTATTTTAGTACCCGTTTCAGAAAACGACAAGCCAAACGATAGAGCTACGAAAGATTCAGAAGCTGGTGAGATTTTGCTTTCATTGCTTGCTTTTTATTGGCAATTACGTGGATTTTTAAAACTTGCTCAATGCACTGCGATCTTCATTACTCCCAATGGGGCAGTTTGTAAAAGTAATGTAATTACGAGGTAAACGCATCAAGGTGGTTAAATCAGATGTGCCTTAGTGAGGCAAGATTTCCCTTGAATTGCTAACTAGATCATTTCAATTGGATGCATTCAAACCAGTGTTGGCAGTCAGTAAACACCTGAACTAGTAGCTTGGATCGAATGATCTGCTTTTGATGCGAAACTATGGCTTCAATGTAGTTTGTGTTTGGTTTAATATGTACCTACACAATGACCGTTTAAAATTGGCGGTAACGTCAACGATCAATTTAGCATCATCAGTAGCAGCAGTAATTGATTTTTGGGCAATGTATGCAACTTGTTGAATGTGACATCCAGTAGCAGCAATCGATTTTTTTGCAAGAAACGACCAAAATGTTGATCCCCTTTAATAAAGCATCTCCAAGGCGAGACTTTTCAAAACAAACGTGAAACGTGCTTTTTGCTAAGCGTATAAAACTCCACTGACTGTTGATAATGCAATAATGTCAATTTACGGTGGCTTCACCGTTTGAGTACCTTAGGTTACTTAACGGTGGGCTCATCATCATCATCATCCCCAACCACATCTTACCACTAATAACCAGCTTCGGCAACTTTACTTTTAAAATCACCAGATTTTGTGCATTAATTCAAGCCTATGATATGTTCCAGACATTTGTAAAAGGCTTGGTTATACTGTCTGCTGACACCGACTTCGTCCCAGAGGAAATTTGTTAAAATGACTTTAGCGAAATGACTTAACTATCCTCTTTTTATTCCCAACCAATTAAGAATAGTCCGGTATACGATTGTACTAACGCCTTGAGCATTGAACAAAGACTTCAAATCCGTATCGAATAATCGAGTTATAGCATCACAGAAGAATTGGATTGTATCACAATTAAATTTTCCTAAAACTGCTCTAAATGCAGTAACACGAAAATGATTGCCATTTGAACCAGTTGGAGGATAGATATTTTGTGTTAACGTCAGTTTAATCCATCAGTTTTACTGCCATTTCAGGCCCCAGTCATGGTCTGATTGAGTGATCACAAATGGCGTTTTTAGTTAACAATGCTTATTCTGAACACAATTTGACAGAACGATTTGTTTGGCGGGCTTTCAAACTCATTGAAATATTTCGAGTTACCTGTCGAAAAAAGTGGTTTGTGGCGGCTTGAATACTCCGTAAAATTGGCGGTAAAATCAACGATCAATTTAGCATCATCAGCAGAAATAATTGATTTTGTGGCAATGTGGACAACTCGTCGAATGTGACACCCACAAGCATCCCCCGAGGTGGGCATTTAACTCAGTTTATCACAGGCGGCTAATCCAGTCTTAAAATGTCAACTAAGGCCACCAAGGTAGCAAGTCCTATTTGCGGTGGTTCTAACGATCATGGTAATAGAATCGGACGTAAGGACACTTGAAGACAACAAAACCGGTCAATGTATGGCACTGGTTTACAGTTTAATTTAACAACACAACTAGAGGACGCATTTGAACATCCAGGTGACTGAAACGTCTCAAACGATGAGGTTGTTGGCCGGGTTGTTGACTTGTCTGTCAGTGTCACTTAAGCCATCTCGATTGTTCACATCGCTCCAGAATTGGTGTCGTCAATTACGAAAAGATGTATGTGCTTTTTGAATACTTAAGTACCCGATTTGCTTCAGTCTAGCTTGGAAGTCCTGTCATGTCAGTCTCTTGGACAAAGCGATAGTAAACATTCGGTAAACTTTACAATCGAATGAGCGATGTAATCTATGGAGTGCTAAAAGTTGTCAGATTTATAACGTGTGTTATTAAATTTGGATTTGAACAAGATTTCCGCCAAAGGTAATGTAGCAACCAATCTCATTGTTAGGTACATTTGTCAACAATAGAAAATACCTATCTGCAAGTCTTTACTTCTAAATACAATGCTTTTTTTCCAATGTCTTATCAGCCAATTCTGACTACGGCACGCCAAACGAAAGTGACACGAAGGAGTTAGAAGAAGGTGAGATTTGGATTCCTTTGGCTGTGTGTTTTTAGCAAGTACTTGACTTTTCGAGAGTGGCCGAATGCACGACGACCTTAAACACCGCCAATGAAACAGCTTGCATCTGCCGAGTCGAGGTCTGCGTCAGTGCTGAATTACTCAGAGTTGGAATATGGCAATTACATGCTAGAGGACTGCTTGTCATCAATTTCGTTTTAATTGCTAATTGGTGAGCAGAACAGAATGGAAGTAGCTGGGGTGCTGTTGTGCTGCGTTTAACCTGATCTCATTAATTTGCAGTGCCTTTTTAGTGATTGTCTTAAGGCACGTTTGTTTAAAGATCACGGAACCCGTGGCTGATTTGGAGTTTTCCACAAAAGCGTCAAGAGAAAGTCAGTACTTCCACTGACGAAAAGAAGACTGAAATGTCGTAATTATTTGACTTAAAAATTCAACAGATCTCATGGAAGAGATTCATTTGTCTGAAGACACTGTACAGTCAATTGTGCAGTACAATTTCACTGAATCAAATGCACTCGTCTGATTCGACGCAGTCTGAAATCGCAGTCGTAATTCCAGTGACATACTTACGAAATTTGCTGCACATTCATGCAACTCGTTCAGAATATATACGTTCATTTTCTGCACTGCTGAATTGAGTTCAATTCCACTATATACGAGGCAATCTAAAGATACTGGTCACACTATCAAGAAAAAATAGGGCCATGGCAATGGTTGCGTTGTTGTGGTGTCAGTCACGCCAATCCTGTAGACGGCGATAAAGCAATGATTTGCCATTTTAGGAGTGACTTCTGAACACGAAACGCATACGGACATTCAGGTGTCTGAGACGACGTCAGACGGTGAGGTTCTTTGCGGTTGCTGACTTGTTTATTAATTTATATTCAGTATTTGCAAATGAAAATCAGGTGGAGAGACAGACTGAGAATTAAGAACAGTGTAAAGACCAGTCAGCGAACAGTGCTGCTGCACGCTGATTGGTTTTTGACCCAAGAAAACCTTTCATTGGTGTCTGCTCGAAAGTATTCGGTTTCCACGCCCTTGCAAGCCCACACATGCCGTGCCGAGCGAGTGACAACAGTTGTTGCCACATCGTCGCGTTGTCTTACCCCCCCTTCAATTAGCGTCAAGACAGATTATGATTGAAGGGCAACTGAAAAACAGGAGAGAATTAGTAATTGTGTTTCACTATCAATTTTCCAGATAACTAGCTAACAAGCCAAGCTTACAGCAGTCCCACGCTACAGCATGCAGTCGGTTGACGTATGCAATTATCATGGAAGTTGCCTAAAGGGCACTTGTGCATTCAAACGGCAAACCGGGTGTGTGTGTGTGTGTCACGAGAGTTCACGGGTAGCTAACCCTCTTGAGATATACCAGGTCGGAAAATGTTCAACTCATCGACCATCTCCTAAACTGCATGGATGTTCTCAGTTCGCATTGACGCCTTTTATCTAATAACAGAATCACACTTATTCTCATGCTGAAATCTCTTTTTATTTGAACTGGCTTGTCTAGCTGAAGAGGGCAAACCAACGGTGGATGTAGATATGGACAAGGTTTGGACCCCCGCCTATCACGGAGAGGATGGAACCAGCATTTCCAACACGTCAGCTCTGTACTCTGATGCTTCTGGCAATCTCAAGTTGAGAATGCATTGCAGGGAGGAGGTGTTCGACGTGATGTGGACGCATGACAAGTACGAGGTGAAGATTGATGACCACGTCTTCACTGGACGTTACCTTTCAGAACTAACGGCTGACATCAATCGGGTATGTGTTGTTTTAATTATTACTTGTAGAAAAGGCTGACATTTGACCTGATCATTATGAAGTAGTATAAATTTCGGTTGCTGAATAATGATCAATGAAATCTCTCAATCAGTTCATACCAATTTAATTTATTGAACATAAAATAATGTGCTTATTTTATTTATAACTGTTTTACCTTGCTCGTTGACAACCGAAGTTTGAGGAATGCACTGTACTTTCTACAAGTTAAAGGAATTTTACACATTTTTTTCTAAAAATCAGGTTTATCAAGGCGATGATGGTATCGCAACGAGTCCACGAAGATGCAAGTCACTAATTTACAGTCAGGATTTGGTTAATTTTGCTGGAAAGATGAAACTGGACAGGTTGCCGTCTGCTGTGCTTGATGATAGCCTCGGCAAGGGGTCATTTGGTGAGGTTGTACTCGGTGAATACTTGGTAAGATCTTTCGCATTGTACTTCACGAAAGTAGGGTGGCTCAAAACCGAGGATGAGAAGTGATCTGTCAGTGGGTTTATGCATTCAACTAGGTTGGTGGCCAAGTAGTTTGATGTTGCGGCAGTCTGGTACTCCTGAGGTCTAAAGGCTCATTGAACAACCTGGCAGAGAGTGTCAGTTGTTAATTGGAACATGAATTCAGTCATCAGGGGAGCACCATAGAGGTTAAACCCTACGGGATGGTTTAGAACAGGATCATGTGAGTCCTCAGTGTGTTCCTTCAGTGGCCGATTCATTCCCTCAAACAGAAAATTCACCCACTCGGGGAACCGTAAATTTAAGTTTAGGAACATAGCACCTGTTCCTTGTATGTGACAACCCCTAATTTGAGGCACAAACGGATGTGCAGGCACTCGCATTATATCACATCTGACTCCGTGTTCCCCCAGTAGATATGAACAGCATCTGTTGAAGAGCATTCATTAATTCAAATGCAATATTGGCAAATTAATCTATCCATTTATCCCCAAATGACTTATCATTCGATTTACGGACGCGTTGCGTTATTAAAAAAGGTCAGATTCATTACCACTGCACTGGGGCTGAACCTCAGATGTTGGATCTGATAGCTGCGATAAGATAAAAGAGAAACAAATAGCTGGCTAAAAGAAATCCATTCTGCTTGTGCGACGGCTTAGTAATTCATGCTTTTCAGACAGCCCCTAACGGAAGGTCAAAGGTAGCAATCAAACGCGTGCCCCAGGCTTCCATCCACGCCTTGGTCGATGCGATGGAAGTTGTCGTGCTGTACGAGCTTACAAAGACTCACAGTGACAGCATCATTCAGCTGATTGGTTGGTACCTGGACACGGATGCTTTGTGCATTGTGACAGAATACGCGCCTGGTGGTTGCCTTGCAAACTACCTGGCAGGATTGTATAGCAGCAGTGATCCTCTTCAACAGGGGGAATTTCGTGGATTCGCCAAAGATATTGCGACTGGAATGCGAGTTCTCGAGCAGGAGCAAATTCAGCACAGAGATCTGGCTGCACGCAACATCCTCCTTGACGCGAATAAGAAACTAAAGGTGTGTAACGAGACGCGAGCAGGCTTCTGGTCATTTTTATTTTAAATCCTCGCTGTCGTTAACATTTCAGTCCATGTTTAGCCAATCATCGGCTCTGGGTGAGCAAATGCAATAATTGACATAGTGATGGATGAAGAGGAGGTCATAGGGAACGACATGCTCGTTAAGCCTGCTTGTGGAACCCGCTATATATACTAATTTTGAAAGTCTGAGCTTCGCAACTCTACTCCTCGGTATATCTCTAGATCTACAGAACACGTTGCTCAAAATGACCTGAAAATAGATTGCGTCCAGGTGGAGTACTCATTTAAGCTCTTTCTTCAGATCGCCGACTTTGGACTTAGTCGTCCACAGGGCTCGCACTTCACGTCTGGCGTCATTGCCATTAAGTGGGCTGCCATGGAGGTGATTGAGGATGGCAGCAAGTACACCCTCTCCTCCGACGTGTGGTCGTATGGCGTGGTGTTGTGGGAGATCTACAGTGTGGGTTACACGCCATACAATGACATCGAAAATGCGCAATTGCTGGAGTATTTGAAGGCAGGACACCGTCTTGAGCGACCACTTGATACTCCGGATGATATGTACTCAATGATGACGAATTGCTGGAAGGAGGAGCCATCAGAGAGACCTACCTTCCATGACATCTACAATCATTTGACGGGAAGCGTCTGTACTACAGAAGGCCCGCCTCCACCATTGCCCCCACGGCTCGCGCCATCACTTTCAAACAGTTGTGTCTGAGTTTCTTAATTTGCTACTCCTCATCAATGTATTGAATCTACATCATTAAATCTGTTGACGGATGGTTTTACCAAAGTGATTTGAATTTATACTTTCTGAAAATGTACTTACAGATTGAGCCTGATGGACAGCAGTTTCTTCGCGCAAATGGTCACACCTCTTGCACCACAAAAGTGCATGCCAAGACGTGTTATGGTCTTCAAATTTGAAAAGTACTTTCAAACAAAACACACATTTCCGGTTTTGATTTGTTAAACTCAACGCGAAAAAACCGTAGTGCTTACTCACTCACTAACTGTGCTTACTTAATAACTGTGACATATATTGTGTGGTCAAGACTTATGCTTGGTGTGAAATAAATTCTCGTCTATTTGGTGAGTATCGCGCATCCAATTAACAGGAGTCATTTCGCCAAGGATTGACCTTTGTCACTGGCCCGTCTGATGAATTTCAATGTATTGACTAACTTGTGTTTCAGAAAAGCTAAATGATTATCTTACGACCCTGAAGGGAAAGAGCACATTGTACCAAAAATACGACGTTTACTGGCCTTACAAGGTGGTCAAATGGCTGTCTAACTTTTCCACGATAGACTGAATATGGATATCGAGTAGCGATAAGGCAACTTCGGATGTCACATTAGCCAAATTCTGCCAATTGTAGTTGACACTGCATACAGAACTAAATATTTCTCTAATCATTGCATGTTCATTGTCAAAATGCGGAAAAAATACACGTTATGAGGATTTGCTATTTGCTAAGCCTGCATTCGGGATCACATCTCAACTAAAAATGTTTTTTGCAAAGCAGTAATTTTGGTTACCCCTCAACATTTTATCGAACATCTGATCGACATAGCCCAAAACATTCCACCTCAGCTTATCAGACGTTTATAGTACTAATTAGCTTAGTGAAATGAATACTTTTTTTTCTGAAACCACTAAGTGACAGAGCAGTTTTGGTCTGTTCAAGTGCTCTAACAATTTCATGGTTGTAACTTTGTATACAAAAAATTAAACACCGTTTGTTGCAAATGCTACTCAGGGTCTTGGATGTGTCAAGTTTGACTCATTAGTTGTAATCTAATTAGAATAAACTTCTGGTCAGCCTCTTAAAGCTGACGGTGACAAGAGTAAGTCCATTAGTTTGAGTATTTCAAGCCTACATAAAACTACAGATGGGTTATCTAAATCACAAACGTTCTGACTGAATATCATTCTAAATGTCATAAAATCACGGAGGAGATCGATATTCAGCGTCAAGAAGATTTGACAGTAGCGAAACCCAAGTATGATATGAAATCAAGCAGTATTTAGATTGGGTAGGAGGTAAGCATGCAGGCATCGCACGCCCATCCTTACGTGAACTAGCATCCATTCATACGATCGGCATTTGTTGTTAATACATTTTAAAGATTACGCTTTAAAATGTTCAACTAAGTCCACTTTGGTGAAACTGATTTTAACCACTGTGAAGAATCCCTCCAAAGCTCTCAGCAACGTTGTAATTTTTCTAAAGACAAATTTATGAGGTTACGGAGAAAGAAATAAAGTATTTTTGCTTCAGGTTCGACATGGTAGTTAAACTGGGAAAGCTATCAACTCCAGGGGGAGATTTTCGCCAAGACTATCAAATCGCTTGCATAATCATGGGATTAGACTGCTCACCTCTTCATTGTAGCACTTTTCAGAGTAAATTGCTAAATGAATACCTTTAACACAAACTGGTTGAAAGTCGTGGTTCCTTGAAACTTCCTCTTCGTTTACTTTGAAATCCATATCTGGAAACTGCTAAATACACCGAATACCCTGAATTAGCGACAACTTGCCGCATCGATATCAGATTCTTATGCAAAGCTTAGCAAATAAGATTGCTAATTAGTTCGCAAGTCTGTTTTATAAAAAAAATTCAGAATGTATAAAGTCATGTGATTGACATGTGGAGCACTTGCGCCAATAAACTTCTGTTTCCTGCTCTGTTGAGTAAACAGTGTAATCCAGAATTCAGTTCATTTAAACATTCACACCGAGAAATTCTGAGTGATTATTTCCTTTTTTCTCACCAGTAAATCGGACCACTTCATCGTATGTTAAAATCAGTTGATAGAAACATTAACTCAGTGGTTGGCTATTTATAAGTCAGGAAATTTTGTCTGGAAATCAGTTAGCAAGAAGTGGCTAGGATCGGCGAATCGTAAATTCGTGTTCCACAAAGACAAAGCATGTGCCCACATGTATTTGGAACTTGGTGGGAAACTGATTTTGCACAGTCCCTAGAAAGATTTGGCCTTGTACCATCAAGCTACTAGTAGTTTTCGCCCTTCGGAAACGTTTTTGCTTGATTAAACTCTTCTGGTCATTGAAATTGATTTATTCACCGTCAAATACCTCATATATGTTCGGAATAACATCTTTAAGGACTAAGAGAAAGGGAAAGCAAAGAAATTAGATCTATTGTACAACGTACAACGCAGATTACACCGAAATAGGAACGTGCTTTTGTAGAATTAACCAATCAGGTGACGGAGATTTTCAACGAGGAAGTAAAATGCCTTGTCTGGCTTGTGATTGCAACGTGAGTCAAAAGATCAATTCGTGTGGTGCACAGTTCCTTCGAGAGCATCTATCTAGATGCCTGTGTAAAGTGCCTAACGCAGGGCCCTTGAGTAGGTTAAAAGTAATTCACCGTGTTCTGCAAACACGGGTGTGCCAACTGACCAATTTGTATCGCCCCGGTTCACCGAAACGACTTCTTCCACACAAGACGATGTGATTGGTTGCCACCGATGAATTAAACTCACCAACGCCATCTTTCGCAGTCGCACTAGAATCACCTCTTTCCTGCGCAAAAGATGTCTCAACTCGGTGGCACAAGTAACAGCTTCGCTTTGTTTACTTTCTTACTTTTCATGTAAATTTTATGCCTTTGAAAAGATTTTCATCTCACTTTCATGTTACATTCGCACAAAAAATCCAAGACAAAGAAGGGCAAATTCCTGGTAATGTTTTAACTCAGTGACTCTATTTACAGCCACAAATAACCGATATCAGGATTTTGGCTTCCTAGATCTTCACTTAGTTGCTGTAAAAACGCCACCAGTATCTTTGTTGGTGTTCTAATTCTGCCATTCGCACAAATTTCGAGTTGCTAAGTCTGGCTTTATTATATATTTTAACTATTCTTCACTTATATGACTGTTTCCTTCTTGCTATATTTAGAAAACAAATCAAAAGGATTCAGGGAAAAGTTATCATTTGGTTAGTCTTTTCAATTGTTGTGTCGTTAACAGCGGTGAATAGATAATGATATTGAACCGCTCTTAAATAAGAGAGATGCTCTAGTTTTGCTGAGTTATGGATAAAAGTGGAACAATTATCTTCATCTTTAAGTCGGCTATTCTTAAAACCAGTTAATGGCTTTTGTGTTTTGTTCGGGCTTACAGGTGAAAAAAACTTGAATTGATGCAGAAATTCTTTAATGACGCGCCAACTTTTGAGAAATGTATTGATTTTCCTGCTATTATTTCACTTGCACATTGAATGTGGCACACCGTTTAATTTTGACGAAGGTATCTTCCACTGACAACTATGATTCTGTCAGCGGCAGGGTTGCGATATACAAAATGAGCACCGAAATATTTTCTGCGGTCAAATTTTTTTATCAGATCTTATCATCCATTACAAAAACGGAGCTTCAATTGTTAAAGCACATAATTAACGATGCGTCGGACAGAACAAGGCAATTAGTGTGTTTGGTGTTGATAAATTAGTGTCGTCTATCACTTTTTTTTATTCACTTTTAGGGCGCATGAGACACAAAAAATCGAAAGGTAGTAAGAATTTTATACCTTATTAAAATTACTTCGACTGCTTGCTTCCATTGTTTCGTAATTAATGTATTTCAAGGGTATGAACGTGATAGAATAAATAAAGAAAATCTGTGTTAGTTGATTGTACTCAGCACATTCGAAAGAGATGTGCTTAAGAAAGTTAGTGAAGGTCCTTAGTCGATGAAGCCTGCCCTCTCTTCCGCGGTTGGTCCGTGTCTACGCAAGCAGCCGAATTCTAGTCAAATCAGGACGAGTAGGGCCGCTCTGTGGAACTGGTCTGCCCTTAAAACACTAATTGACACGCATTATCGCCTCAACTCTTATTAACTATCGTTGGCAGTGTAGGCGGACCAGGCAGTGGACCGGAATCCCTGTGAGGCCCGCTGTCCTGCATTCTGCCAGAAGTAATGGAACTTCACGCTCAAATTTGAAGTGCGACTTTTGAATCTGGGCAAAATAGACACGCGAAACACCTGGATTTATAATGGCTCCGACATCTGCGTATCCTGCTTTTCGAAGTCAACCAGACAAAGCACACAAAATGGTTGGAACCAGCTAGTCTGAACTTGCAAATTGAAGTACAAATTTTCAGAAAATCGTCGGTTGTGCAAAATGTGAATGCATGAGTCGTCACACAATGTCCTTTCATGCAGTTACATTTAATCAAATTCTTTATAGCATCATCGTGAACCCGGAAATAGTTTGCATTACATTTCTTTTAAAATAGTTTGCAACACAGGTACTATGGTGAGTCTTAATGTTAGGATTCCTTTTTCGTATGCCTTTTTTATGTTGCTGTCTCTCACTGAAACACCCTCATTCCTTACTCACTTTAGACGAGACTTCAGGACACAAAATTTATTGGGAACACAAAACAGAAAAGCCAGAAAGTGGTGAGTGTCTTTAAATGAATTTTGACAATAAGTGCTTCGAACAAATACATTTGCACATGTTTGAAGGTATTTGAAGAGATCCAGCTGAAAGGAAATAATGAAGAACGATCAGAAAACCGCACTACCTGTTGCAGCATGTGATCTCTAGAATTTACTACTAATGTAATTAATGTTAATGAGACTGATGTTCACATATACTTGGGCTTAATTATCCGAAAAATTTAGGGCGGATTTCACTCGTTTAAAGTTTAAGGGTTGCTTAAGTCTGAAATCATGCA